TAATCATTTGCAGTGATTCAGTCTGGGTTCAAATTACAAATAAAAACCTGCGCTTCCGCAGTATTGCCACCAGTCGGTGGTGTTGCACTGTGTAACTGCTCATTATATACTGTGTGATTATACTATTTATAATAATTCGGCATTTGATATTGCGCTGTTCACGTCTTGCAGACGCCTCAAAGCGCTTGTTTAGTCAACTCCCTTCTCCTCCTTGAGGGGAGGTGACCAGTGTCTCCCTGGAGCTGATCTGGAGCTCGGCAACAAATGTGGAATGGAGCCATTCCTGCGTGATGGTCACTCGGGTGGACACTGTGATCTCTGCCTGTCCCGGGCTGTGTGTTTGCTGTGTGTGTGTGTGTGTGTGTGTGTTTGTGTGTGTGTCGTGTTTGTCTGTGTGTGTCTGTTTGTTTCTGTGTGTGTTTGTGTCTGCGTTTCTGTGTCTGTGTGCCTGTGTCTGTGAATGTGTCTGTCATCTGTCTGTCTCTGTATCTGTCTGCGTTGATGCTCGTGTGTATCGCTGTCTGTGTGTGTATGTTTGTGCCTTTGTGTGTGTGTGTGCGTGTCTCTCTCTCTCTGTGTATATGTGTGTGACTGTGTGTGGTTGTGTGTCTAACCCCTGAGCTACAGGACAATTCACAAAGTCACGTTGCATTGAATCCTGCAAAAACTCTGTCACGACACTATCCTGTGAAGCGCATTGAGACGTCTCAAAGTCGTGATAAGGCGCTGGGATAAAGACAATTACTATTATTATTGTTGTTACAAAAAGATTTTTTAATCGCCCAAAACAACACGTCTCCCCTTTAAGAAGAGCACGGACTCGCTTTAAATCAAAATACTGTCTGCAGTTTTATATAATTTTTTTTAATGCAGTTTTTTGATAGTGATTCATATTCTAATGATGAAGATTTTTATTGTGCAAATAGAAATTAAATTATTGGCAAAATAAGTTGGTTTGATTCCAAATCCGTATAACTTAAGGCTGATTAAGTTTGCAAAAGACTTTGCTGAATTATTTTAGCTTTCCTTCAAGCGTGTGAGTGCTGTCAGACGAGACTACAATTGTTTTATATACTGCATTATATTCTTATATTTACATATATATAATATTAAAATTATTTCTATTTTTATACTGTGTTTGTACAGGAGAGACATCGGGAGAGGCTGTGTGTGTGTGGGAGATATTGGAAGAGGCTGTTTGTACAGGAGAAAGATTGGGAGAGCTGTGTGTATACAGGCAGGACACTGGCCGTGGCTGTGTATTTAGAGGGGAGTCAGTGGAAGAGGTTGGTTTATACAGTGGAAGACACGGGAAGAGGCTACGTGTACAGGAGAAACACTGGGAGAGGCTGTGTGTATACAAGAGAGACAGCGGGAGAGGTAGGTGTGAAGGTGTGTAGTTTCTCCATTACATTGTGTGTAAAAGAGAAACCCTGGGAAAGGTTGTGTGTATACAACCGGAGGCACTGGAAGTGGCTGTTTATACAGAAGAGACCCACAGAGAGTCTGTGTGTATACAGGAGAAACACTGGGAGCGGTTGGGTGTATAAATGCAAATAATGATCCATCAAGAAAAAAAAATGGTAATTTGATCGCTCAATCCATGACTGTTTGTGGGTCGCTGCTGTGCGTAATTGGCTGCCGCGTTTCATCCACATATGTACAGTCAAATCACTTGACAGCATATTCTGTAAAGCGCTTTGAGACGTCTAGAAGATGTGATAAGGCACTGGATCAAATGCAAGAATTATTATTATTTTTATTATTATTATTGTTACAGAGTGACATCCTTTCTAGCCCCGTCCAAAACCCTGCAGCACCACTTTACTGCCACCAGATAGCGAGGCTGCACAGTGTAACTGCCCACAGTATTCTCAGACACCTAATAAAATAGTAATAATCTTGTCATTCGATATTGCGCAGTTCACGTCTTACAGACACCTGAAAGCGCGTGTTTAGTAAAAAAATCCCTTCTACTCTTCGAGGGAGGTGAACAGGGTATCCCTCGAGTTGATCTGGAGGTTGGCAACCAATGTGGGAATCAAGCCAATCTTGTGTGATGGACACTCGGGTGGACATTGCGATTTCTGCCTGTCCCGGGCTGTGTGTTTGTGTGTGTTGTGTCTCTCTGTTTCTGTTTGTCTGTGTGTCTGTGTGTTTGTGTTTCTGTGTATGAGTGTCTCTGACGATATGTGTATCGGGTGTGTCTTTGTGTGTGCCTGTGTGCGCTTGTTCGTCTGTGTGTGTGTCTTGGTGTGTCTGTGGGTAGCGAGGAAACTTGCACAAGGTTTCGCCCCCATTGGGGATTGACCCCCTGTCTCTGGCTTGCGAGGCGAGGGCTCTAATCACTGAGCTACAGGACCTGTTACAGAGACAGTTTACGGTATATACTGTGAAGCGCTTTGAGACGTTCCGAAGACGTGATAACACTCTGGGTCAAATACAAGGATTACTATTATTATTATAAAAAGGGCTTAACCCCCAAAAACTCCTCTCCCTTTAAGGCAGTGACGGCCTCGCTTTAAATCCCAAATATGGTCAACAGATCAAAATCCTGCTCTGGCCCCGTGAACGAACCCAGCCCCGCCCCCGCCCGCGACTCAGCCCCGCCCCAACTCCAGACACGCCCCCAGTTCGGCCCGCCCCCAAACCCAGCCCGCCCCTATTTGTCTCCTGTTTGTAGCAAAGCCTCCAGCGGCTGATTGATAGAGAGAGAGTGAGTGAGAGACAGAAAGTGAGAGTGAGTGTGAGAGAGAGGGAGACAGTTAATGCAAAAAGCGATTTATATACTTGGGATTAGTGCAGAATTGGGAATATTTTGCACTGATGCACTTTAAACCCCGAGGATCTGGGGGAATTTACACCCGTTTCCCGTGTTAATCCCCGGCTGTGGGATTAAAATCAAAACCCAAAGTTAATGCAAAACCGTATTTATATCATTTTGATTAATGCAAACATTGGGGTTTATTATACTATTGCACTTGGAACACCGCGTATATGGGGGCTTTAAAAACGTTTCCCGTGTTGTACACAGAGAGCGCGTTATTATTTAAACAGAAAGTCAATGATAAACCCCATGGGTATCATTGGGATTAATGCAGATGTAGAAAGCCTGGGATGGGCTTTGAGACGTCTGGCAGAAGTGATGAGGAGCTGTGTGCATTACGGGGATTATTATTGTCGAGATCAGGAGCTGAAAGCTCCAGCCTGATGTTCATTGTGTCACAGATGACTTACTTTAGACTTTTCTCTGTGCAAATTAGCTCTACATTCGCTCACAAACACAACCGTCGCTTCACAGTCGATCCCGAGAAAGGATTGAGCCGCGGTCCCAGTGTGAAAGGTGTCATATAAACCACAAGCTTTATTGTATAAGGACACAGATTATAAAAGGTTCAGCCTCGTGGCCATCACAGCCAAACACAGGTCATGGCTGAGGGTTTCCTCCTCATTAATCTGTCACCCGACAGATCCTCAGAGGATCAGAGTTTTTGCCGCCATCATCAACACCGGGATAGAAGTACGGAAAAAGTTTCTCAGTGAAAGTCTGGGTGAAAGTGTGGAGATGAGACATGTTATCAGCGTTGTAAAATGTCACCTCTCCCCCCTCATAGTCCAGGAACACTCCCAGCTTCCCGGGTCTCTCTCTCAGGGGCAGGCGGGTGGGAGGTGAGGTACAAGCTTCATATTCATCCCCGTTTCTCAGATACACAGCCCAGAATCCATTCTCTGGTGACAGTGTGATCTCTCCTTTCCTGTTGACAGACTCTCGGGCCAATCCCACATCCCACTTGGTCTTGATGCCCACCTGCACCTCCCAGTAATGTCTCCCTGATGTGAAGCCCTCCGACCCCAGAACACAGGGACAGGTATCAAACCTCTTCGGGGAGTCCGGGAGCTGCTGCGATGTGTCTCCGAGTCTCACGCTGGTCAGGTCCTCAGACAGGATGAGCCATGGATTCGCTGTGTCAGGATCCAGAGTCAGAGCGGCCGGAGCTGAGGGAGAAAGACAACACAAAGTGGAGTGAGGGGACGTCTGGAGCTCAGACTGTGTGTGAACACATCTAAAGCTGGGGACACAATCCAGCTCAGAGGGTCACAGTCGGTGTGACGGTATGTGTGAGTGTGTGTGTGAGGGTTTGTGTGAGGGTGTGTGTTGGGGAGGGTGTGTGAGCGGTTTTATGAAGGTGTGTGTGAGAGGCTGTGTGAGGGAATGTGTGAGATTCTGCGTGAGGGTGTGTGTGAGTGGATGTGTGTGCGAATAATTGTGAGGGTGTGTGTGTTAGTGGATGTGTAAGGGTGAGCGTGTCAGCAGGGTGTTTGAGGGTGTTTGTGAGGTTGTGTGTTTGAGGATGTGAGTGTGTGCGACGGTGTGTGCGAGGTTGTTTGTGAGGGTGTGTGTGATCGGTTAGGTGGGAATCTGTGTGTGAGAGTTGCGTGTGGTGGTGTGTGTGAGTGTTTGTTTGAGAGATTGTGTCATGATCTGTGTGAGGGGATGTGTGAGGGGAAATGTGAGGACGTGTGTGATTGTGTGTGAGTGTGTGTGCGAAGGGGTGTTTTGAGGGTTTGTGAGGTGTGGGTGTGAGGGGTTTGTCTGAGTGTCTGTTTGAGGGTTTGTGAGGCTGTGTGTGTGGGCGTGTGAGAGTGGTTTGTGAGGGTCTGTGTGGGGATGTGTGTGAGGGTTTGTGTGTGAATGGTTATGTGAAGGCGTGTGGCATGGTTTTTGTGATGGTTTGTGTGAGGTGGTCCCTGAGGGCGTATATGCGCGTGAGTGTCTGAGGTGGAGTGAGAGGGATTGTATGAGGGTGTGTGTCAAGCTACGTGTGAGGTTGTGTGTGAGGTGTGTCTGTGAGTGTGTTTTGGAGGCGTGCGTGTGAGCGTGTGTGTGAGGGTGTGTATCAGGATGTATGTGAGGGGTTTGCGTGAGAGCTGCATGTGAGTGTGTGAGAGGGTGTGTGTGAGGGTGCGTGTGAGGGGTACACACCTCTGAGGGTGTGTGAGAGTGAATGTATGTGTGAAGTTGCGTGTGAGAGGATGTGAGAGGGGATGTGTGAAGGTTGGTGTGAGGGTGTGTGTGAGTGTGTGTGTGGGGGGGCTGTGTGAGAGGATTGTGTGTGTGTTTGAGGGAATGAGAGAGGTGTTATGTGAGGATGTGTGAGGGTACGTGTGAGGATGTGTGTGAGGGGGTATGCGACGGTTGTGTTTGATGGGTGTGTTTGAGGGATGTGTGAGGTTTGTGAGGTTGCATGTGAGTGGTGTGTGTAAGGGTTTGTGTGAGTGGTTGTGAGAGGTGTAGTGTGCTGATGTGTGTGAGGGTGTGTTTGACGATGCGTGTGAGTTGTTGGGTGTGAGGGTGTGTGTGAGGGTTTGTGTGTGAGCGGGTGGTGCCTGAGTGTGAGAGTTTTGTAAGGGTTTTTGTTTGAGGGGATAGGTGAGTGTTTGGGTGAGCGTGCATGTGAGGGTCTGTACGAGGATCTGTGTGAGGAGGGAAGGTGTGTGAGAGTTATGAGTGGGTGTGTGAGGGCGTGTGTGTATGACAGTGTAATAATATTATTAATAATAATAATAATAATCCTTGCATTTCATATAAAGCTTTCCAGCATTTTTCGACGTCTCAAAGCGCTTCACAGAATATAATATGAAGTGAATTGACCGAACATTTGTGGTCAAAACGCGCCAGCGAATTGCGCACAGCAGCGACCCACAAACAGCCGTGGATTTAAAATGACCAATTTAGTATTGTTTTTCCTTTTTGGAGGGATTCTTATCAGTTGTGTGGAGTAAGGAAACTTGCCCAAGGATTCACCCTGCCTGAGATTGAACCCATGTGTCTCGCTTGCAAGGCGAGTGCTCTAAACACTGAGCTTCAGGACTCCACATACAGGATGTGTGTATGAGGGGGTGTGAGATGTTGTGTTTGAGGGTGTGTGTGAACGTGGGCGTGAGGGAGTGTGGGAGCGTGTATGTGAGGGTCTTTATGACGGTCTGTTTGAGGCTGTGTGTGAGGGGCTGTGTGAGTGGTTGTGTGAGGTTAATTATTTTGTGTGCGTGTGTGCGTGACTGTGTGTGTGAAGGTGTGCGCGAGGCTGTGCGTGAGAGGGTGTGAATGTGTGAGTGACGTGTGTTTCAGGGTTAAGTCTGTAATAGACGTATGTGAGATGTGTGTGTGTGTATGAGGTGTGTTTGTGGGTGAGGCGTGTGTGAGGGGATGTTTGTAAGAGGTGTGAGAGAGAGCTGTGTAACGTAAGCAGCGCGTATGTGAGAGTTGTGTGTTTGAGGGGTGTGTGTCAGGTGTGGTTAAAGAGTTTATGTTTGGTTTGTGTGAGATGTGTGTGAGCGTTCTGTGCGAGTTTTGTGCGTTACTAGTATTCTGAGGTTTGTGTGTCAGATATGAGTGTGTTGTGTATTCTTTCAGGTGTGTGTAAGAGGTGAGTGTGTGAGGCATGAATACGTGTGTCTACGATAGGTGTTGATGAGGTGTCTGTGAGGTGTGTGAGTGGTGTGTGTGAGGGCTGTGTTTGAGGAGTGCTGTGATGGGTGTATGTTTCAGATGTGTGTGAGGTGTGAGAGAGAGTTGTGTGTGAGAGTTGTGTGTGTGTGTGATGTGTGTGTGCAAGGCGTGTGTATGTGAGGTGTGCGTGTCTCTGTGAGCGTGTTGCTATTATGTGCATATGTGAGAGAGGAGTCGTTATGTGTATGTGTGAGGGAGTGTGTGGAGGGTATGTGTTGGGATCAGGTGAATACAGTCTATTGACACGGATTCAGGGTGAGAATGGGAGACATGTACCTGGGCTGATGTTGTCTATAATCTGTCTCCAGACTGTGTTCTTCAAAGGCCATTTGTACTTGGACACAGGAAGGATCAGCCTCACACACTGACAGATCAAACCTCGTCACTGACCCTGAAATAAGACACGATCACAGTATAAAGTGAAACTGCACCTTGTGGTTGGTTTATGGGTTGAATTGTGGGATATTTGTAAAGATCATTTCATACCTTCTGTTGGCAGCAGCTTCCTCCTAATGAAATCAAACACAGACAGATGTCAGTTCAAATCGAGACACCAACACAGACAAGTTAAATGTGCGCAGAGTATCTCACGTCCCAATACAATCTCTGATCTCTTTATCAAACACAATTAGTTTGTTTGCTCCCGACTGTGTATAACCGTTACTGAACTATATCATAATGTCATCTCTTTACCTGCAGGAAGGTGGAGCGTCTTTTCCCATCTGTGTCTGTAACTCGGAGAGTTGTTGTTCAACAGAATCTAATTTGCACTGAATCTCTCGCAGATTTGTCTCCATTCGCTTTAGAATCTCCTCCTCTCGCTGTCTGAGATCCCCATCACTCGCTGCTCTCTGTCAGTCAGACTCTGGTGCATTTTAGCAAACTCACCCGTGACGTGGGTCTGCAGACTCTTCACCTGTTCCTGAAAATATCAGACATCCAACCATTACCCACTGTAACCAGAGACACTGAGACATCACACCGTCTACAACAGTAACCAGAGACACTGAGACATCACACCGTCTACAAGCAGTGACCAGTGACACTGAGATATCACACCGTGTACACACATTGACCAGAGACACCGAGACATCACACCGTGCACACACAGTAACCAGAGACGCTGAGACTTCACACCGTGTACACAGTAACCAGAGGCACTGAGACATCACACCGTGTACACACAGTAACCATAGACACTGAGACAACACACCGTGTACACACAGTAACCAGAGACACTGAGACATCACACCGTGTACACACAGTAACCAGAGACACTGAGACAACACACCGTGTACACACAGTTACCAGAGACACTGAGACATCACACCGTGTACACACAGTAACCAGAGACACTGAGACATCAATACGGAAATCTCACCTTCAGTTGAGAAATCTTTTCTTTCTGTTTGGCTTCTGCTTCTAAAGCTGTTTCCTTTCTCTGTGTGAGAGAAGCTAAGGAGGATTTCAATTTATCCTGTAATAAATACACAGAATTAACGTGTTTGAAGGCGAAAATATCAGGTGGATCAGATATAATCCTTCTTGAGGTATTCTTACCTTAAAGATGTCAGCAGCTTCCTCAATGGGTAGGAAGCTGTGGCCTCTGTGTTCCTGCCCATGACTGCAAACTACACACAGCAGTTTCTTGTCAGATTCACAGAACAGCTTTAGTTCCTCCCGGTGTTTGTCACAGTGAAGTTTACTTTCCGTCTGTGTCGGG